GAAGACAACACTAAGACCTTTAAAACGATTAAAAACAGAATTCCTGGGGGCCTGCGCTGTGGCACAGTGGGTTAATGCCCTGGCCTGAAGCACCAGCATCCCATATGGGCGCTGGTTCCACACCCGGCTGCTCCACTTCTGATCCAGCTCTCTGCTAAGGCCTGGGAAAGCAGTAGAAGATGGCCCAGGTCCTTAGGCCCCTGCACCCATGTGGGTGACCTGGAAGAAGCTCCTGGCTTCTGGCTTCAGATCAGCACAGCTCCGGCCGTTGCAGCCATTTGGAGAGTGAACCATCGAATGGAAGACCTCTCTCTCTCTCTCTCTCTCTCTCTCTCTCTCTCTGCCTCTCCTCTCTCTGTGTAACTCTGACTTTCAAATAAATAAATCTTTAAAAAACAAAAACAAAACAGAATTCCCAATCCCAGTTTATACTTCCAAATTCAACCTAAAAATGTAGAACCCGGTGAGGTAGTATTTAGGGAAAATAAAAGCATCCCTATCAATCCTTTTCTCTTATAGACATTAAGTGCATCAGGGTTGACTCATTCATTTATTGGACATTAACTGGAAACTATTATTCTATTAAGAGCTACTACTAGAAATCAAAATGCTCCTGACCTTAAATATTCAGGGACAGGCATTTGGTCTAGCAATGAAAATACTAGGCTGGGACAACATAGGTTGTACTATGTGGGGTTGAGTCCCGACTAGTCTCCCAATTCCAGCTCCCTGCTAAAATAGAAGCTAGAAGGCATCAGGTGATGGCTCAAGTAGTTAGATACCTGCCACCAAGTTGGAAACCTGGACTGGCTTCCTGGCTCCTGGCTCCAGCCTGGCTATTGGAGCCATTTTGGCAGTGACCCAGAAAACAGGAGTTCTCTCCATGTGTTTACCTGTCTCTTTTATCTGTCTCCTAAATTAATTAATAAAAGTTCAGTTTAACAATTCAACAAGGCTTATGAGAAAATATCTGCTTTCTCTATTGATACAAAAACCCAGACAAGTTTTAGAAAGTCCAAATTGAGACAATCAAAGTTCTAAAGACTAACCACTTTGTTGAATGAAATCGTCCTCTAAAAGCTCACATTCAGTTTTATTTCATACACATTAACAACAGACTTGGTTATTCTAAGGACACATCATGGATCAGCCACTTACTTCCCTAATGGCCTTAGTCAATTCACTTGTCTGAACCTTGCTTTATACATTGGGAAATGAGGATAAACAGCTATACATTAAGACTATTGTGAGGATTAGAGATAATTATGTAGTTACCAACATATAGCCTGGAATTTAGTAAAAAATGTAATAACTATAGCTAGAATCATAATTATGGGATTTAAAAGCCAACAACAAATTGATCAGAAAAATCTAGTTATATGGAATTGGGGCAGGAGAGGAACTACAGATAGCTCAAAGAATAAATGACTAAAAGCAAAGAGCCAAACACAAAATTATATAGACACAAAAACTCAGAAATCGACTGAGACCACCAGGCCGCACACTTCAATAGCTACGGAGGGGCATCACTGATGTTTTCATGAATTGGAAAATGATGTGCTTGAAGACAACATTAAGACCTTCAAAACACATTAAATTTTCATTTCATGCATTTAAAAAAAGAGAGAGAAAACCAGATAATAGACTTTGGAAAGATGACTTAGCACCACAAATTTAACACGTTTGAAGTCTAAACTTTAATTGCAAAACTCTGTATCAAGCATAATGGGTAAAGGAACCTCTCAGATTTCAGAAGGAAATTTTTCTACTGAACATTGTAGAAGATGTATTTCAAACACATTAACTATAAAATACTTAAATGCAACGGCCTAAAACATCACCAGTTTCTTAACAACTAGAACAAGATAAAGTTTTGGTCTCCTTCATTTCAAAATGTTTTTATATCTACCAAAGAGACACAAACATATGCCATAGAAATCACTTTTCACTTGAATTTTCTCCCTGCCACTTGGAAGCAGTAAAAAGCACAGAAACATCTGTTCCTTCCTGCAGAGCTGGCAACCCTCATTCTAAAGTGTAAAAAGAAAAGATGCTTATAGATATAATTATCACCTGCTTCAACAAAGGCAGCTGGCAATGAACTGATCCAAATACGTGCAAGATGAAGGTCAAACACAATTTCCCGAAGGCCAGTGAGAGGAATTCTCAAGCCTCTCGTAATTTCCAAGACATCCATGACGTTAACTGCAAAGCATGTTTAAACACACACACACACACACACACACACACACACACACACACACACACACTGAGAAGAAAAGTTAACAACTAAGACCTTTGTCTACCTGGAGTCACTCTACCACCACAAGAAGAGCTTCTATGAGAGCTCCTGGGGAAAATCTGCCTTATCCAACCAAAGGAGAGCCAGATGTTCAACCATTAAAACAGCACACCTATGAAAAACAGAAGCTGGAAAATCTTTTAAGTGAAGGTTTTAACTCTTAAAAATAGCTTTTCCTTAAGACAGTGTCTTACAGCATTGAACATCCAAACATGAGTAATAAGACATTCAGACTAGGAATCAGTAGACTCAGCTTCTATTTCTGGCTCTGCTTCTGAATGAATCACAGGGTGTCCTTGAGAAAGTTCTTTCTCCTTTTCTCTACCTTCATTTCTCACCAGTTACAAGATTAGGTTAAACCTACGGATTCTTCTCTTCTGAATGTCGTTGAATGGGCAAGTTAACATATGCAAGCTGTGGGGCTGGCGCTGCTAAGCTGCTAGGCCTATGCCTGTGGCCCCAGCATCCCATATGAACACCAGTTCAAGTCCCCACTGCTCCTCTTCCGATCCAGCTCTATGCTTCTGGCCTGGGAAAACAATGGAAGATGACCCAAGTGCTTGGGTCCCTGCACCAGCATGGGAGACTGGAAGAAGTTCCTGGCTCTGGGCTCAGATCTGGCTGCTGTGGCCATTTGTGGAGGGAACCAGTGGGTGGAAGATGTTTCTCTGTCTCTCCCTCTCTCTCTCTGTAACTCTACCTCTCAAATAAATAAAATATTTAAAAAAAATGAAAACTGCTACATAAAAAAGGTATCTGCTGGCGCCAGCACTGTGGCATAGTGGCTAAAGCTGCTGCCTGCGGTGCCTGCATCCCATATGGGCGCCAATTCAAGTCCCTGCTGTCCACTTCAGATCCAACTCCCTGCTAATGTACCTGGGAAAATAGTAGAGGATGGCCCAAATACTTGGGCCCCTGCACCCATGTGGGAGACCCAGATGAAGCTCCTGGCTCCTGGCTTCGGCCTGGCCCAGCCCTGGCTGTATCACATACAATATAGCATGTTCCCTAATACAATATGGCTGCCTAGGATATATGTATATGTGCATATGTATATGCAGATGTGAATATATGCATATATGAGTATATGTGTGTGTGCATTTGCTAAATAAACTAAATGAATACATTTTAAAAGTTGTATGTTACTACAGACAGTAATCATTAATGCTAATGATTGATCATCTCAATCATAGTGAATTATTTTTTTTAAAAATTAATGAATGATTATATCCCTAGCTAAGGGAAAAAATACATGAGTTATCACTAATATTAAATTCACAAAAATTACCTCAAACACTTTCTGTTCTTCCATTTAAAAATGCTTTAAATTTGTGTTGCTTTGCTTTCTGGGTTTTTTAAATAATATATCTAGTGGAGATAAGGCTACAAACTATACAATAAAGACAAGAGATGAAAGGAAATGAAAAAAAGAGCATGTAAAATGAATGTAGAGGTTAATATTAAGTGTAACATTTTATAAATGGAAAAGATAATTCATAAAAATAAAAATGCAGTCAATAAAAGTAGCTACCACAAAATTAACAGCATTTAGTCAAATAAGAAATAGTTGTCCTCACTGAGAAATTTCATCTAATATTTTATCAATAACCTGTTTATTAGATTTTAACATTTTCAAGTTGTATCTGAAAATTTTACAATCACAAATTTATCACAAATCTATCAACATTCAAATAACGTTCATATTTCTCCTAGTCATTGAATTCTAACACTCTTGGTTTCATTTCATAACTAAGAGTAGAGATTAAGCCAACAAGATACCAGCCCTGTACCTATGGACTCTAAAGGTAAGACCTGGGAACCTGGAATTACACTTAGAAGAATGGATAAACCCACCCTGCTTCTTATCACTTAGCACATAAACTGACCCTTTCCCTGTGCTTTCTGCAGCCCTGGATGTGAGTCTATAACAAATGCCAAGCAGGAGAGGTATCTGTTCCACCAGATGTGGGCTTGGCCTGCTCCTCTTTATTTCCAAGCTACAGCCTGTCCTGCCTGTGCCATGAAACCAAAGGAAATCACCCCTAATCATTCTGTCGTTAACTAATTTTCTGATAGTATTGGCTTACATCAGCAAATAGGAATGCCCACTTCACAGCACCTGATGGCTGCAAGATAGAAACCACGTATTGCATAGATACATGAACTCATGACTAATATCCATGGAAACCAGAGCAGTCAGAGACCACCTTTAGACAGTCTGGAACAGACAGTTTGTGCTACCAATAAGGACACTTGTGAAAGGACCATAAACAAGTTTGTTCCTTCTAGTGCTTGGGAGGATGAGGAAGCAAAGTGCAGGATGGCGGTTTAACTAACAAGGCGAGAGAGAGACAGAGAGAGCGAATATGAATGAATGAATGAATGAATCATTTCTCTCCCTGGCATGAAGCTGAGAACAGCATGTATGTTGGAGGTGAAAGGAGCAGAGTAGCCCTTTGGGGTGATTTGGACAGGCAAACTAAGCGGTTCCTTTTCAGAACTTGTCAGAAAACAGAAAACCAACAAGTGCATCAAAGCCATTTCACCTAGGGGGTGAGCTGGGAGGAAAAGATTCCCTGGGAAGAAACAGGCCACTAGCAGATCACGACCTTTTAGATCCCGGGTAGGGCGGGCGGCAGGGGAAGGCCCTGATTGGCAGGCGATGTGCCACCCAGAGCCAGAGGCAGGGCGCGCTCACCTGTGAATACGTTCTGGAAGCCCTCCGCAGCCGTGGACGACCCAGACGCTTTGGCGGCCAACGCTGGGGACACCCTACCACCGCCTTCAGTGGCCGCCCTGCGCTCCAGCAGGTGCGCGGAGCCTCCCGCCCGCGGCGCGCGGGTGCCCACCTCCTCTGTCCAGTCCGCGGAACGGCTGAGGCCGCCCACGAGGCCGCCGTCCGCCCGGTGCTTCTTAGCCGGGGCGGCTGCCGAGGCCAGGGCAGTTCTGGGTCCCCGGCTCAGGGAGGACTCCAGCCGCCTCTTGATCCTGGGACTCTGGCTGGGGGACTGAGATGGGGAGTGATTGGGCGAGCTGAGCTGCCGGGTGGTGGTCTTGATGTAGCAGGGAGTGATGAGCGGGTAGGGCTTGAAGCAGCGCGGACTGGGCGAGGGGCTGCCGGGCAGGGAGGAGGCTGCGGGGGCTCCAGGCTCTCGCGCCAGCTCCTCGGGCTCAACCCCCAACTTCGGCCGGGCCTCTCCCCTCTCTGGGGCCCAGTCTTCCGCTGGGGAGCCTCGGGGGGCATCCTCAAAAGCCTCCTCCTCGGCCTCCTCGTCCGTGTCACCGGTCCCTCGCGCGGGGGTTCCAGCTGCGCCCTCCCCCGGCCCAGCCTCGGGAAACGCGAAGGCCGTGGATGAGGGCGAGTCTGCGGCCGTGGGCTGGGCCTCCGGGAGGCTGAGCGCCTCCGAGGCGAAGGGGGCGCCAGGAGACGGTGGCTGCTTGGGCACGGCGGGCTCGGCGGTCAAGCTCCCGGGCAGATCCGAGAGCGCGGACAGCGCCTGTTCTGTGTCGGGAGTACCCGGGGCTTCCCCAGCCCCGGGGCTCGGCCCCAGCAGGAACCGGTCCAGGCCCAGGAAGGCCCCTGGTTGAGGGCGAGCTTCAGTGGGGGGCGCTGCAGACTCCTCGGAGCCCTGAAGCAGCTGCTGGAGCTGCTGCTGCTGCTGCAGGCGAATCGCCTGCTGAATGTCCGAGAGCAAATCCTCCTGCTCCGTGGCCGAGTGAAAGCTGTAGATGTCCGTATCCGAGCCCGAACTGGTCCTTTGTCCATCCTGCGCCCCCGCCGCGGGTTCCAAATCCTCAGCGACCGCCCCAACCGCCACCGCAGCCTCGGCAGGCCCAGGACCCCCCGGCCGAGGCGCCTCAAAGGGGTCCGCACATTCCGTATCCGAGAGGCCCGTCTCGTCCGCCGAGAGGCTGAGGTCTGGAGTCTTGGGGACCAGGGAGTGAGCGCTGTCCAGCTCCCCGGTCTGCAGGGCCTGCGAGTCCAGCACATCCTCCCGGGAGCCGCCGGCGCCCTTCCCCTTGGACAGGTTCTTCCTGATCCGCAGGTTGGAAAACACCGAGGCTCTGGAGTCCGACTTGCTCTTCTTCTTGCCGGGCTCCCCGCCGCCGCCCCCTCCCCCCTTGCTGTGCTTGCCCAGCGCCTTCTTGCCCCCACTGCCCTTCTTTGTGGCCTCCACATCCCTGGGCCCCACAGCATCCTCGGCGCCGCCGCCGCCGCCGCCGCCTTCGTGCGCGGCATCACCTGCGCTCCTCTTCAGCTTCCCCTCCTGGTTCCCCATGGTGCAATCCCGCCGCTGCGCCGCCGCGCCCCGCGCACTCAGGCCATGCCGGCCCTCCTCAGCCCCGAGTCCGGGCCGGGGGACTCTCCTGGGTAAGTCAGGCAGCCGGGAGAGCTGCTGGGAGGAGAAGCTGACGTGCGACCAGCTGGTCCCGCTCGCATCTGCCGCCGCTTTGCATAATGCGCGGCGGCTCCCGCGGCTGCCTTCGCTGCGGCTGCGGCTGCGGCTGCGGCCCGGAGCCGGCGGGGCGCGAACATGCTCAGTGCAGCGCGCGGCGGCGCCCGCCAATGGCTGCGCGGGACGCAGCCCGGGCCTGGCTCCCCGCCGGCAGCCGCCGCCCCCAAGGCCCCCGCTTGGCTCCAGGCTGAACTCGGGCGCGAAAAACGTTTCTTGTATCTCGGCGACTTTAATCTCCACCGTGAGAACTGAATGCATTGTCCGCGAGCGAAGAGGTCCTCAGCTGCACGATGCACACCGAACTTCAAAGCTCCCGGGCCTGCCATGAGGAAAGTTACACAAAAAAAGGGGAAAGAAAATTTTACACGAGGGAAAACTGAAGCCATATTCTAGTTTACAGGTGCTGTAATGTCACGGCCAGACACATGTCCACCCCACCCCCTCTCTGCCTGCTTCTGTGTGGCTGGCTCTTCAATAACAATTTGCTGAATGGATGGCTCTGTTTCTTGGATAATTGCTCCAGCATGAGATTTAGGACAGGTTACAACTCACGGTGGCAGCTTTCACGACTCACTCTGGGACCTTGATTCTCCATGAAAGGACACTGGCTGTCATTTCCAAAATTTGTTTATCAAACTTTTTTTGACAGAAAAAAAAAAAAAAAAGGAGCTGAGGAGGCAGAAAATACTGAGACTAGACTTGATTAAAATGCTAATCTCCAAAATTCTAGGTGTTTACCATATAAATTAAACAGCATTTGTATTCAAAAAGGGTGCATATACTATAACTCCCAGGAGGTCAAACTCATCAATATTAAACATGTCACTATTGTGGCTGACTACAAAAAGAAAAAGAAAAGAAAACACACTTGGCACAAACATGAAATCAGATGTTATCTATAAGCCACCACTTTCCCAAGCAAACGTTTCCCAGTGCATTTCCTGCTATAATGAAGTTTTTGAAGGTGCTGGTCTCCATACACACTTTTCCTCATGGTAAGTTACATCATATTTTAATTACTAATACATTGAGCTACCTATTTTTAAGTATACTTAAAACAACAAGTATACTTAATACTTATACCTATTTTTAAGTATACTTAACAAGTAGGAAACAAACACTAAAGTGGCATTCACAATGAATGGAACAAGTATCTGTTAGAAGTTCTTTGTTAATGACATTGAAAATATGGAATAGCTATCCAATTGGTTAATATCCTGAAAGTAAACCCAGAGGAGGGAAAAGTACTACATATTATAACACACAGTTTAAATGTGGCAAGCAAATGTGTGCGCTTCCTATGAACCAACATTTTAAAACTCCATCCTTAACCATCTATCAAGATAGTTATTCCTCTAAGTCATTGATATAAAAACATATGTAGCCATTATTAGTAGTAGCCTTTTACAAACTATGTTCTTAAAAATGAGGGAAACTTAGGGCAGGTAGCCAGTCGTCCTTAGGTGGCCTTTTGGAATAAATAGTTTGCAAGAATCAACTTTAATAACTTTGCCAGGGTAGTATCCCAATCTCCAAGCAATTCCGGAGTACTTGAAAAGCCTTTGTTTCTTCTCTTTGACAAGACTGCTCTCCTAGAATCCAGCCTCCTCAGAGGGCACAGTTTGCCTGGGGTTATTACAAATGTCTGCTTCTTTGAGTGCTGAAGCACTTTGAATCTTTTATTTTTTGCCCTTCCGTAATAGAACATCTTTGATTTTAAACTATTTGTTTCCCTACTTTTTTGTTTCTACGACACACTCCAGAAGTTCAGAAGACAAAAGAATGAAGGGAGGGAAGGAGTGAGGGAGGAGAAAGAGAGGCAGGGAGAAAAGGGACTGCTGTTTTTTTTTCCACCTTCTTTGAATGGGAAACAATAGATGGCACTTGTGTATCAGGTCACATTTGACCAAGCTCTATTACATGCAAAGGTTGATTGGAAAAGTCACAAGTGTGAACATCAAATGTAGGTAGTTCCTCCAAAAATAATTAATGCAAAAGTCTAAGGCTCAGAGAGGTTAAGAGATTTGTCCAAAGTCACATAGCAACAGAGGCAATACGTGAACCTAGAAATTTAGTCCAAATTTTTTATAATGCCATCACATCTTTTATTCCTTAGGGAACAGAGAAGAATGTAATAAAGGCAAACCTTAAAGTTTGGTAAAAGCATTTCTTGGTGTTCAGTAGTTTCAAAGATGATGGAGACACAGCCTAGGCTCATCATCTCCATTTAACCAGGAAAGAATGTCATTTCTGCAGAAGTACATTTCACGGGGACTGGCATTGTGGCACAGATGGTCAAAGCTGCTGCCTGTGACACTAGCATCCCATATGAGCACTGGTTCCTATCCAGCTCCCTGCTAATGCCCCTGAGGAAAGCAGAGGAAGATGACCCAAGTGCTTGGGTCCCTGCACCCACAAGGAAGACCTGCAGGCTCCTGGCTTCTATCTTGCCCAGCTCTAGCCATTGCAGCCATTTTGGAGTGAACCAGAAGATGGATAATATCTTTGGGGAGTGAACCAGTAGATGGGAGATCTCTTTCTGTCTCTCCCTATCTCCATAACTCTGCCTTTTAAGTAAATAATAAATTGATCTTTTCTTTTAAAAAAAGTACATTTTACAAATAAGTAGACACCCTAATTTGTGTCCAGCCAGATCCTAAGTGCCAGGATTCAGAAGAGAAAATCTAGCCTTTTGTAATTATTGCAAAACTCACAGAATTAGCATCAAAGATCACAAAAACTGTATATGAACTTATTCAGTAGCTCTCATTTTACAACAGAGACAGTTCAATGCAGGTGTGTTTTTTTGCTTTTTTTTAATCTTTAGTTTTTAACAGAATTAATATGGTTCATAGATACAGTTCTAAAGAATACAATGATATCCCCTTCCTCCCTCCCTCCCTACAGTTTTTAAAAATAAAATGAGCAAAAGTATGTTGGAAAACTTTAAATAAATGGCCTCTAAGTTCTTAATGGATTTGCTGACATAGTTTAATGAGGTATATGGATCTTGGCAATTTACTGTAAAATGCATCAAAAATAAGATGTTTTGAAGCATGTTCAGACAAGTGATGAAACAAACAAAAAATGTTAAATCCATTATTAATGTGGTAGATTTATGGATATTCACTGGTAAAGCCTTTAAACTTTTCTATATGTTGGAACATCTTCATGCTAAACCAGTAGAGAAAAAAGCAGATTGCAAGAATGTGTGAATTTCCAAGCTTTTTTGAAGTTAAAATCATGTAATGATCGGTGGTACTCAATAAACACTAAATGAACCATCCTCCTTTTCTTCACTTTTCTCTGTTTCTCTGAATTACCTATCATTGCTTTTTCTTCTTCCTACTCTATTCATCCAGAACTCTCTTAATTGACTATGAAATCATGTGGAACTTTTTTCTTTTTTGTATAACCTTGGTGGAATGCGTTAGAATTTCTAACAGAGCAACTCCATTGCATTCTGGTTATTCAGTTCATCTTTTTATACATCAAGTGGATGATCTTACCTTAAAAAAAGGAAAAAAGAAAAAAAAAAAAAACCTCTTCAGCCCTGGTGTCAATTCCTAGCTGTTGCATCCCAAAACCACCTGTCAGTCATGACCTCACTGCTACATTCCAGACCCTGAACCCACTTTAGAGAGAATACCATGCCCCTGGTCAGATCCAACTTTTTGAAATTTAATCCATCATCTCCTGCATATCTCTTCCTCCCATTTATTTGTCCACTTACCCCACCACCAGTATCCATTCCCCCTTGCCATTATCATCAGCACTTCTCAATTAGGGATTATTCCGTTCCCCACAGGACGTTTAGCTCTTCCTGGAGACAGTTTTGGTTTCCACAATGGGTGGAAGGGATGCTGCTAAACATACTGCACAGAAAAGCCCTCTGGCAAACACATATACCAAGAAAAATTCAGCCCAAAATGTCAGAAATGCTGTAGGTAAGACACCTGCTTTATCAGGAAGCCTCCTGCAGCTGACAGTCAATGAAGGCTTACTGGGAGAGTGAAAGAATGAGGAAATCCAAGTTGCACAAGTATTTCTCAGTTAGTAAACTAAATCAGAAACTTTAAGGAAGAACTTAACAGGACATATAAAAACCTAAACACTACATCTACAGTACCAAGTACCTTAAATAGGGCATCATCTCTGCTTTAAGACTTTGAAGTTCCATGAAACTATATGTTCTATGTAAATAATCCAAAGCCCTACATCCTTGATTATATTAAAAATATATATTATATATATTTATATATATATATATATAAAACCCTTGCTCTTACCAGCATTGTTCTGATAATCAGGGCACAATTCCAAGAACTCTTTGATAGGGGGTAATTGTGTGTCCCCTAAAAATGTAGTTATATAGCTTTCAAGAGTTTTTTTTTTTTTTAAATTGAGTTATTTATATGAAAGTCAGAGTTACAGAGAGGAGAGAGCGAGAGAGAAAGAGAGATCTTCCATTCACTGTTTTACTTCCCAAGTGGCCACAATGGCCAGAGCTAAGCCAGGCTGAAGCCAAAAGCCAGGAGCTCCACCTGGGTCTCCCACTTGGGTGGCAGGGACCCAAGTCCTTGGACCATCTTCTGGTGCTTTTCCCAAGCCATTAACAGGGAGCTGCATCAGAAGTGGAGCAGCCAGGACTTGAACCAGTGCCCATTAGAGATACAGGGATTTCAGGCAGCATTTTAACCTGCTACACCACAACACCAGTCCCAGCCTTCAAGTTTTACCACCATCATTGATTTTATCATCAATGCATCACTTGGAAATACAATGTCTACAAAACAGAAAAAAAAAAAAAAAAAACAAAATATTGCTTTCTTCAAGCATACAGAATGTACCACAAAGTTTTTCTAGCTCTAAAGGAAGTTGAAGTTTCATCCTTCATCTTAAATACATATATGAATTAAAATAATATTTATACATTCCAATACATTCTCTAGTTTTAAAAAGAGAGTCAAAGTGAAGGTAAAGACTTGTAGGCCCCATAAGCTCCTTCTTGCTGCAAATGGAACATCAATGCCTCAAACCTCACCCTCTGGAGAGCTCACTGGCTTTCACTGAAAACTCCCTAAGTATATGGGTGTGCATTAACTGTCAACACATATTACTCAAAATGTTTAAGATTGTTTGCAACTGAGAGACAAAAGAAGACATGAAGATGTGAAAGCATTTCTTTCTTTCCTTCTTATGTCACACAGAGAATCTTTGGAAGCTAAAGAGATCTCCTATGGAGTTTCTGGACATACCCTGTGCCAGAAAGGACATTTTCTTTCTACCTGAAT